AAGCTACACTTTTGTCCACATTCAGAACAATTTCAACAGCCTTTCAATCACCTCCTAGAGCAGTTGGGTATAAAAGTGCAGGAACCTTCAGTGTACTTATAGTATGTGGCACGTATAAAATTAGAGGACATTCCCATGTGCATAATATATACAATGCATCAACTCTTAAAGTGTGAGTAGAAAGGATAAAAGTTTTATTACTGAATACCAAATCCAGAACTCTCGAAAATACTAAGGGAAGTGTTATATCTACATAATTGTCTACATAATAGTGTTCATAATTATACGTGGCACTGGATCCAACATTTAATTCAAATCTCACACTTACACATCAACAACTAAATGATTGTCACATCACATTATGAACACCATTATGTGCAATAATTATGTACAAGTAGAATTTTCCAAATACTAAGGAGCCTCGAAAAACTCCAAAATCTCATCTAAAATAAATTTAAAACCAGTTTTTTTTTTCTTTTCTTTTTTGCATACTTTAAGGGATTTCATGTATCTCTTCTACACAAACGTGATACTATACACATTTGCACTTCATTAATTTGCTCAACTCTGGTACTGGTATATTGAACTCAAAAACTGACTGCAAAAGCTCTTAGATGTTGGGCAAGGATATCAGTGTTCATATTGATATTGGATATTGGGTTTTCAACTCTAATTTCAATCTGGCTAGGCGTCTACTATAAATTTAAATGAGATAAAAACAATAAAAGAATAACAAAATGTTAATAGAGAAATACATTTTATGCATGATTAGGGAAAAATATTTTTTAATTAAATTAGATGGTGTAATTAGCAAGGAGTTTGAACAGTCATTATATTCAAATGTACGAGAAAATTTTCAGTGCTTATGGAGTATGAAAATCAGTACTTCCTATCACTATTTAATTGACATGTATACTATTATTTTATATCTGATTCGAATCAAAAATTGAGTCTCAATTATTTAATACACAAGTCAATTAAATAATAACTGAGAGTGCTTGAAATTTCTCTGCCAAGTTCTCCCAAATGTATAAGCACTCTCTTTTATGTTCATTAAAAATGACACTAGAGTTCTATTAGCAACGATTCATTCAATTTTCCAAAGTTTCTACCTCTTCCTCACTCTTAAAATTTCAAGTATGTTCCAGGATTCGAATCCAGTAATATACAGTAAATATTCACTTCTTTATTAGCATATTTTCTGGGTTTTGAATCTTGTTATTGCAATTAGTGCCTGGGTGTTGTCTAATGAACAAAGTGGATTGATGCAAGGTGATATTTTTTTTTTTTTTTAATGGGGAATCCTGGCAATGAATATGAATATCGGACCGACAGCCAGGAAACAATTCATAACAGAACAAGTACTACTATTGGTAGTAGAGCATTAGAGATGTTGGACCTGAAACAACACTGGCAGGCAAATGTCCCATTTCTATATGCGTGCAAAATTGACAGCTACCACTATTGACATTGGAATGAACTCAGATACCAATGCTCATCAAATTATTTAAGAATCAATCCCAAAATATTCCAGACAGCGGCAGGGGCGTCAAATATGCTGAGACTAACCACACACCGCCTAATGGACTCCCCCCTCAGGCTAAAATACTTTCACCATGGGCCTCAGGCTCTCTCCGTGAACGAAAGTTGGCGTCAAAAACCTATGATAATCAATTCTAAAATATGGCCTATGCCCCTATATGAACTATATGTACGTAATCAAGACCAATGTTGGGTCAAGATCTTTTCGTGTAGGATAGAACATGGTCAAAGCCCCTTTGTGAACTAGAAGAAATATATAGTCACGAGTACTTTTTTTGTCGATCTCAATATCACGTCTCACATTTCTATTCACAATTAATCTATATATAACCTTTGAATTTCACATGTTTCACAGTAAAAGAACCTTTTATAATAATCATGTAATCGGATAAATAATTCATATAATAGCACAGAATGCAACGGTACAATCAATTTATAAATAATTGAAAATATTCAAGTCCCCCCCCCCAACAAAGTTGTAGATCGATCGCGACTTCAATCTTCTTGTAACCTGCTCGCATTCAAATACCAAGTATGACATCTTGCACTCGTCCCAAGAAATCACATCGCTTTACCCAGGTGCCCTTGAGCAATTTTCTTAATGTTAGAAATACTAATTTACGAATAAGAACTTAACATCTCTTATTTTCAATCTCATAATCCAATTTAGGGTCATTAACAACATATACTCCGTATAGATTATTTTAACACCTAATCCATAATAACTAAACTTAACTTGGTTTTCTTAATAAAATATCCAAGAAATCACATGGTTGACAAAACTAGCACTAAAATTTTCTAGAATATTGAATTGAATTGTGATATCATGTCATTTTATTGAAAACTGTCTTCAAACCCATTGACAGAAACAGCTCTCTCTGGGCAGAATTTCGAAAATAGCACTTGTATTACAATAGCTCAAAAGTTCCTCAAAACAATAGAGAATTCCAATCTCAAATCCTTAATTTAAGTGTTTAGCATTAGATAATAATAAGAAAATCAAAGAGTAAGCCTTTATCTCACAAACCCTTTCAAAATTCCACTTTTTTCAACACAAATTTTCAAATATACATTTCTTTAATATATTCTTGTTTATTATCTCAAATACCTGTCAATAACCTTTAATTCTTCCTAAACTTTGTATTTAAGAATTTTTTTCCAAGAACCCTAAATTCTAATATCATTCTTCACTAAGTAAAATTTATGCTTACGTCAAGGAACTGAGAAAACAATTGAAGACTCTAGCTCATCTTCCTCCTTTTTCTTTTCTTTCTTTTCCTTTTTCCACCATTCTTTTTCCACAATTGAAGACTCTAGCAAAAAAAAAAACCCATCAAGCGTCCACCGGGCCCCACTTTGAACGGGGTGGAGATTACCTACTTAGTTGGGTATTTGGGTTGAGGACGGGCGTAGGAGACTTCATCCTGAGGTGAATATGGGTAACAAGGGTCCTACCTCACCGTTTAATTTTTTTTTTTAAATACTTTAAATAAAAAGCTCCATGAAATTTCATTAATTCTAATAGAATATAGTAACTAAAATTATCTAAGAAATATGACAAATAATAAAAGTCTTAGTTATCAAATATATATGAATAATTTAACTTTTAAAAATAAATTAATTAACTAAAAAATTTAATAAACGTATTATTATCTTACTTTAATGAACAAGAACAATAAAATGAATTAAAAAATTAAATGGGGCAAGGGCTCACTTCGCCTAAAGTGGGTAATGGGGTGGGTACGGGGAAGGAAATTACTCAGGGGGACGGGGCGGGTCCCATTGCCATCCCCACGTTGTTTCTTTCCTCAAAGAAAAGATGGTTTCAAATTGAAATTGATTAACTTAACTATTTGTAATTTAAGTCCCCCAATCTTCATGTCATATACTTTTTAGCCCTTAATTTTCTAGTAATAAAAAGCTAAATCCCTTTGATTTCTATTTTATTTAATTTCTAGCCTCCAAATACTTGTAATTACAATTTTAGCCTCATGAAAATAATTTATTCAACTTAAGTTCTATTTGACTTTGACTTTGACTTTGACCAATTGAATTACTTGACTTTGATTATAAATGAGTGAATGTAACAATTTCTGCAGACTACTCCACTTGATATAATTTGTATCGCAATGATAGTTACGATATATATAGAGAAGAATAACAAAGAAGAATTAGTAAGAATAGAAAGCTTCTCCACTTCTTTAGCACTCGTAAAACAAAGCCTTTTATTAGAAAATACAACAAGGCTTAAAACAAAGTAACAACTAGAAGAAACAAAGGCTTAAAACAAAGCCTTTTATTAGAAAATACAACAACAACAACAAAGCTTCTCCACTTTTCTTATTAACGACAACTAGTATTGAAGCTCCATTTATTAGAAAAGCCTGTGCTTACCTGGTCGAAACATAAACCTTGATGCCCAGATTGTTGAATGGATTAGGGAAATCCATAACCTAAAATTTAGAATTACATATAAAGTGATCAGAAGCAAAGCAAGACCAGCAATAATTTTTGGCGATATCCCTAGCTTTTCTTCCTTATAGGCAAAAAAGTAGGTTGCACTAAATTTCAAGACCAAGCAAACGATTGAAGCAAAGAGTGTAAATAGTCCAACCATCAACTTTGCCGGTAGTCTAAATAGAAAATCTTCTTCTCCATAGCGTGAAGTTAAGATAGACAAGAACATCATTATGAAAGCTGTCGAGCTAAACATTGCCACTGCATTAGATGTAACAAAAACCTTGAACCATCTATTGTGAGCTTCCTTATTCCCATCTGGCACGGTAAAGGATGCATTTAATGCCACTGTGGCAATTAAGGTTGCCACAACCATGCAAGAAGTTGTTGTGTTTTTCATCCAATCCTCACCAGCTTTCCGTAACTCCTCGTGCTCCTCCGTAAACAACTCCTTTGGTGTTTTGCCCTTTTTGTTTTTCTTCTGAACATCAGAAGACCGTAGAATCTTCTCCACCTCCTGTAAAGCTTCCCGTAATTTCTCATTCTGCTCCGTGAACATCTCCCTAGGTCTTTTCTCGTCCTCATTTTTCTTCTGAACATCCGAAGGCCGTAGATGCTTCTCCACCTCCTGTAAAGCGTAGTCAAATTAATGTATATTGCATAATCATCCAAAATTTAACTCTTAACAAGGGGATAAATTTTTTTATCACGTGGAATAGTGGATTGGAGAATTCCAAAAATATATATATATATATATATTCAAGATAAACAAGAAATGGTACAATTCACCTTCATGCTATACAGTGTTCCTCTTCTCTTTGAGGGGAAAAAGGAAAGGGGATTCAATAGTCAAGTCAATTTTTCTCACCTTAAACCACTGTAGCTCTCTTTGCATTTGAAGAGCCGCCCCAGATACACTATTGAGTCTGCTTGAAGGTGCTAATTTCGCAGCCAAGTGCAAAATGTTGTTATTGGAGTTTTTTTCTGTATAGAGCATCAATAAATCTTTAATAGCTCCTGTGAGGTAGATGAGACTAAAGACTTTCTCTTGTCGGTTATTAACCGCAACATGAAATATGGAGTAATTATTTGAGTCGACTTTCCACAAAAGATCAGGATATGAGCGGATAAGCAGAGTCAAAAACTGCCAGTTTTTGCAGCATCAGTAAGTATAGGAGTCTTCTCAAATAGGTCAGAAATTTCCGTGTCCTTTAAAGTCATAATCTGTGCACAGAGCTCTTTTAACAACTGAACGGCTTGTCTCCGCTTTTGAATTGAACCATATATACCTTTGAAACCTAAAAATCTTTGCTAAATTATTTCTAAAATTCATGTTAACCATAGAGCCAAATAAATAAATAAATAAATATCTGAGAAGAAAAAAGTAAAATAAATCTATATATCGATCATTCACACAAATTCCAGACTTTAAACTAGCATTTACTATGAGTTACTTTGAACAATAGAATAATCTATATTCTGATAGCTTTATGATTGTATAATGACCTTAGTTAATCATTAGAAGACAATAAAACATAAGAGAAACACTAGGAAGGACATAAATGAGTAGAAAGGTGTGAAAGGTGTGAAAGGTGTAGATACATGTATGTCTACTATCAACTAGAAATCTTCAGGTAAATTAATCTCCTTTTTTAATTTATTGTCAGTTGAAAATTAATAATGAAATAGAATAATCTTACAGGGAACATAAGGGACGATTCTAGCGAAACTTTCACATATCCATTCTTGACTGTTACCATAGTCTGAAAAAGGTTTTCGAGCTAACTCGTGCAGAGCGCGTCTCATGACGTCTGGAGAAGTGACTATACTTCTATCTGTTTTGAATATTTTTAATGCGATATCTGCATATAAGAAAAGCAATTTTGAAACTATCGCAAACATAATTTTCATTGTCATCTTGCCCATGGTCATGAACAGAGATTCCGTACCATACATGCCACTACCGATAGCTGCAACAAAAATGTTCACGCGCTCTTCGGCCTTGAAATTTATAGGGGATGCAATGCTGTCTAGATATTCAACCATTTCTCTTTTCCTCATCAAAACTGCCATTTCAATTGGGGTCATACCGTTGCTGCCTGGAATTGATGGCAGTTCTTTATTTTTTTGGTACATGACCTTGGCAATTTCTACAACCCCTGATGTAGCTGCAAAACAGAAAGCTGTATTTCCATGAATATTCTCCAATTTCAGTTCACTTGCGTCCAAGCATTCGACTAGCTTGCGGACAAATTCAGTTTGCTTGGTGGCAGCAGCCATGTGAAGAGGCCTATCTCCTCTTTCTGTTATCTTAAGAGAACGTGCACTTTCGTCCAATCTCACATTCCTATCTCCTTTTAAAGCAGCTTTATATATCCATATACGCTTGTTATTCATTTCTTCCCCTGATGATGTTTGGGGAGAACTTTTGTCAGATGTGTTGAAAGCAGAAGATGCTTCACAACTATGTAACACATACTAGACCAAAATAGACATAAATCCACTTACATATGTAACACATACTAGACCAAAATAGACATAAATCCACTTACATAATGTAGTACACAATCATCAAATCTTAATATTTACTAGCACGTCAACTTTGTATTGAAGTTGTTCAAAATCTAATGCAGCAATGTCCATCTCATTACTGTTGTAATTTGTTCAAATCATAACGATGAGGATAAGGATGATTTTTGGACTGTTTTCAAGAAGGGATATTAGTGAAAAATTGGGTGAAAACAAAAAAACATGAAAGTGAACGGTGGAACGCTGCCCAGCCCAGCGCATCTGAGCTGCCAATGGAGCCCGAAATGGCAGGGCAGTTGCTGCCCTTTGTGTTTGGCTCGGGTTCTGGTGTCTTTTCGTAAACCATTGTGTCCATCCAAGTATTTGGTGTTTCTATCCGTATAAATAAATTTTATGAGATAGAAAATATAAGGGATTAACATTTCTACTGAATTACAAAACTTAACTACTGATCAATTCCATAAACTTTCCTCTCTCTTTTTTCCCCCCATTTCATCAAGTAGCTTTTCAAATAATTCGAATAATTACATTGAACTAAATAAAAGTATCTCAAAACCACGATAACGGGATTTCCAGTTGGAAAATCGTATAATTTGTATTTGTTTAACGTGGCCACCCACATAAATAACATAGGCACAGTTATACGTTATGTCTTAACAGTTAACACCCATTACGGAGTTGTGGCTCGCCACAGGATGAGGTATGCACTTACTATATATTTGATCAACTCTGGAAATGGCAAACTTACATTGTCGGGCATTGGCATTGGGGATTGAACTTTCAGCATGTCTAGGCTTGCATGTTATCTCAACAATGGGTGCCTCAACAACCTCTGGTGTTGTAATTGTGGAAAAATTAGTTGTAGATACATTTTTTAAAACAGCTATTAAAATGCAAAAAGTTATTATAAAATAAAAAAATAATAAAAGTAAATCAATCTATCGAGATATTCGTGACATTACAATAAAGAAAATCAGAAACTTACCCTGTTGGACTTGGACATTGACATTGGAAATTGGACTTTCGACTTTGACTTCAACTTGGCTGGGCATGCTTGGTAGCTCAACGATGGGTGCCTCGACAACTGCTGTCGTTGTAATTGTAGAAAAATTAGCTGCAGATACCTTTTTAGAATAACAATTAAAATGCAAAAAATATAAAAGACTTATCAATTGATCGAGATTCATGACAGTATCAAGTCTTCAACTGAAAATGTTCATTATTAATTGCTGTGATTTATTTGGACAATTTCTCGCAATACAACGACCGAATCACAATAACAGGCGAGGTCCAGAGACTCAAGTTTTACTCCAAGACTATGCCCCATTTAGTTCTGATTTTTCACCTCAAAAAATTAATTTTTTGACCATTATTTAACATAGCCAGCCATTAGTTTTTACTTCTTCACTTACAGGTAGGACACACTTTTCTCTCCAACTGTCAAAATATAAACCAAAATTTTTTTTAAGTGCGTAAGATAATTTTTGTAAATTTCCAAGAAAATGAAGGGTATATATAACCCACAAACAATAACTTACAATGATAATTCAAAATCAATAAAATAAAATAAAATAACTGTAGGTTTTATTATTCTCTTTAGAATTTAAATCACTCCGCAAGTGCCTCAACAATTTTGTTTTACTGGATATAACTGTCTCTAAATATTTTATTTTATTGACTAGTTTTTAACAGAAATATATTTGGAATAACTAAAATAAATAATAACAATAAGATATTTATAATACAAAATAAAAGAAGTCCACGGTCCAACCATAGACTTATAAATACTCACTTGAAGTATGTTTCGAAGTGTTGATCCCTCACATAATTCCATAGATTGGCCCGTTATCTCAATTTAATTACTTTCTCCAAATTAAATAAATGATATACATTTAACTGTGGCTGGCTTGTTTATAAACATGAGAATCCAAGAATACGCACCAGGAGACAACTCCGACTGATCAGCCCGTGCCGGTTCTTGTTCTAAATCTGGATCCGATTCATAACTTCTCGAACTCATTGCTTTATCCCTCAGTCTTCTTCTACCTGTTGACCTGGAAAGATATCAAGAAAACCAATATTCTACAGTTAATTGGTGTCAGTTGTGTTAATTTCTACATAAATGGTAGATAGAATTTGATAACATTTCAACGTTGTGCATGCAACAGCTGATCTTTTTAAAAATGCTTTTAAGAACACTCACACAAGCTCTCTCAATTTGATCTGTGCTATGCTGCATGGAAAGTGTTAACGAAGGCAGCGAATTTATAGGCGTTGAGGGAGTAAATTGCAGTATTTGTCTTCAATCTATTGCCTTATTAGCAAATCAGTCTCTAATATTTTTTCTTGGCATCTAAAAACCTCAAATTACAAAATCGAACCGAAATCGTTATTTTCAGACCTTTGATTTGGGTCTACATAGCCCCATGAATGTTTAGGTTTCTAAATCAACCAAACCATTTAAAAATCATTCTATTTAAATTTTCGGTACTTAAAAATAATTTAAAATCGAATTCAACCGTTAATATAATTAGGAAAGAAGAAAACAAATCCTAAGTGAGAGAGTTCGGGAAGCTGCTTGAAAACTGAAAGCAATTTAAACTAAACACCACTATTTTCAATTTTCAATTTATTAAGCCTCATAACCACAAAGTGATGAATTATAATTATATCGTACTATCCTTGTGCATTTTGGAGGTGCTTTCATTACGTATTGTCGTCTTGTAGTTTATTTTCACACCTCATCTTGCATTTAAATTCAACAAAATTTAACTGAAAAAGTGTTAACATCTGTCTCGCTACGAATGAATATTAGTAGTTAATGCCCACAAATGAAAAAGAAAGTGAAACAGAGATATTAGGTCATTGTTCTATGAAGTAATTGCATAACTTTGTTGTATTCCAGTGAAAATTTATTGATTGTTTACTTAAGAAACAAATATAAAATATATATAATCGTTTTAAATAGTTTGATTTATAAATGGCGAAAATCACTCAAATTGAACCATTTTCATTCCTTGAATTTCTTTGTGGAAGAGTAGCAACATACCCAATTTTAGTTAGGTCATGTTTTGTCTTCATTTTCTAAAATTTATTTTTCTTTAAATTCATTTTCAATCACAAATTATCTCAATAAAATAATATTACATGTTGATCCATAAATTTTCCTACTTTTTAATTACAGATTCTTCAAAAAATCGTTTTTACAAAATATATTCTAAAGCGTCTCTATCAAATATGTCCTTGATTGTTTTAGCGCAAATGGTTGCAAAGGTTGGGTGGTTGAAATTAGTTGCATATGTTGTGGTCCATTAGGAAATGTTATATGTGAAACTTTTCTGCATTTTTGTTAACTAGGAACTATCGTGTTACATAAATTTAAAATAAGGGACTAAAATGATCAGAAAAAATAGAATGGGGACCTATTTGTTATTGCATGACTAGGTTGAAAGTTGTACTGCAATTGTCGTCTCTTTTTAGTCTTTTGGTTGTGAAATGCGTGCTTGTTTGATCCTCATACAGCAATAATTGTAGCATGACGTAATTGCACTAATTGTAGCATGACGTAATTGCATATCAGTCGCTAAAGACCAGATCTTTTTAAGCCCCCCCGTCAATCACTCATTATTCGAAAAATTAAAGAATTTTTAAAAATATTTTTTAAAAAATATGTAGTTAAAAAAATAAAAAATTTTTTGATTTATGTGTAAAATATTTTAATATATGAATGTGTAATGAAAAATGATATTGTACCAAACAATTTAAAATTTTAAAGGGGCCCAAATAGGTACTAAACCTTTGTTTGAACTCCATTTTCTCAAAACCTCATATATATATATATATTATTTTTTTGTTATTTTATTTTTTTCAGTTATATATTTTTCTAATAAAATAAGTATACATATAAACTCAAATTTTTTCTTATTTTTTAATCATACATTCTTTAAAAAATCAAAATTACTATTTCCAAATATATCAAACACAACAAATATGCTCAAACAAGGTCTAAGTATTGAATACATTAAAAATTGAGGGTGTCTCCATCAATCCTCTATAGTAATTTATCTCTTGGCATTTATATATAGAGAAAGATATTTCTTTTTATTATCACTACAAGCCAAGTAAGCCCTTGTTTGAAAACAATCATTCGAGGAAAATGGAGTTTTGAATAATAATTTTTTTACAAATTTGTTGTTAAAAAGTAGGAAAGAATTTTGAATTTCCATGCAGAACATTTTATTGTTTGAATGTATAGTTAAAACTTAATCGATTTTACTAGTGGTATATCGTGGTGTACTCAATGGTGTACACCCCACTCACATGGGCGAGGGACCAACTCGAATAAAATATCGTTTCTTTCATATGGGTCCCACATTCATGTGAGTGAGATATACACCATTCGGTACACCTCATTATGTACCACTAGGCAAATTCAAAATTAATATATATATAAAAGTTTTAAAATAATGATTGTCAAACAAAGGTTAAGTTTAGTAAGTGTGATTGCAAAATTTCATAATTGCTCAATTGCTGCTTCTCCAATTTTTTACCGATATACTAAAAGTCAAATTAACTTTTCTTTCATTGAAACATTCCTGTAAAAATAATTCGATCTATCGATCGAGAGAGAGAGTGAGAGAGTGTTAGGTACTTATATTGCATCCCATTGAAACATATATTAAGATACGAAGTCCGACTTACAAAAGAGTTCAGTTTACGAGCATATTTGGAAAGGATTAAAATCTGATTTTAATTTAAGTCAAAATCAAACAATCAATATTAACCATATTTTTCATGAGCCCTACAATTTTTCAATCATATATTTAAAAAACTTCTATCACAATCTGCTAAAAAATCTAATTTTAATCACCAACAAACACCTTCTACATAAGACATTCTTGTTGAGAAGAAAGACACATACCCCTTTATGTTAATTATTTATCTCATCTATAATCAGTATTAATATTGACAAATTCTTTTGCGTTACTCATAAGCTAATCATCTCATCCATGAGATGTGATGAATGTAGTTTTAAAAGATACAGCATGAAAGAATTATAATTGACCATTAAGTTACAAGTATAATTGAATAATAATATATTACAAAATTTAGAAAAAATTCCAATACCGCACTATTAGACCAGTCTACAGTCGATGCAATATAAACTCCAAAAAAATAAAATAATAATAATAATAATAATAATAATAATAATAATAATAATAATAATAATAAAAATAATAAAATAAATAAATAAACCTTTGAACCACACTCGATTTACCAGTCGGGTCATTGTTAATTAAAAATTTCAAATTTTATTTAGCATTTGAATAGTCGCAATACACTACAAACTTCATTTTCACTTAGGGTCCATTTAATTGTAAAGATGGAATTGAATTGAATTGAAAACGAATTCTAGGGAATTGAATTGCCTAGAAATTGTTTTCTTGGGAATTGTAAATTGTTGTGTTTGATAGGTATAATTTTTCACGTGAAAAATATTGAAATAAAAGTATTTTTTGGTGTTTGTTTGGTTTTGTTTTACATGAAAATTGTCAATTAAAGAGATAGATTTTACTGGTATTGGAAATAAAATTTGTCTCCATTGCCAACAAAAAAAATTCAAGAAAATTATCTTTTTTTTATATTCGTTTGGCTTTGTTTTACATGAAAATTATCAAATAAAGGGAAATATTTTTTTTATAATAATTCTTAAAATTTGTTTCCATTGCCAAAAAAAAAAAAAAAAAAAAAAAAAAAAAACGTGAACAGTAACCGGGAAAATCATTGGTGGGAATTGATTTTCCCATAAAAGCAAGAAAATTGCACTTCCTAATAAAACCAAGAATCTAAATTCCATGGAAAACTAAACCCTATCAAACAACTAAAAGTTGGAAAATGCAAGGTAAATTCCATTTTCCATGGAAAAAATTAACCAATCAAACATTCCCTTATTTTAAATTGCTTATTTCATTGCTAGTTACTTTTTCTACTTCATCTTTTAAGCCTCTCATCTTCTTGAGTTTTGGAGCAAAGATTGAAGAAAAAAAATTAAGGATTAATTTAGTGAACAATAATTATTATTACTAACTTTTACATAATAAAAAAATAACTTTTATTATATTTGACATGAGTTAACTATCTCGTTCAATCACTAGATTAGGAGCTGAACTATTGACTCAGTAACCCACCTCTACATGTGGTTTAGCATTCAAATTGAATATAAGAACTATGATATTACCCACAAATGTTTAAGAACTCTCTTGAGGGTGTGTGATCGAGCAAACTTCACAAATATATGAAATCGTTGACAAGTAATAAATGTGATGAGAATATCTATCGTCCTTCAAAGAGTAAATTTCAATTCAAATGTACTAATTTTGTATAAAATTCGAATCATTTAATACAAGAGAGATTATTATGTTATTATACTAAGTTAATCTAAGATATGTGTAACAAGTGTTTGTTTATATCAAATTATTGATGATTGTATTAGAATTTGAATCCACGTATTGCTGTTTGCTTCAATTTTTTATTATACAATTTAGTTTCATTCATGCATTCTGGACGATCGATAAAGTTATTATATATAATTTTTTTGAAGATAAATCAAATCTATTCTAATCAGACCCGATAATACTTCTAATCTAAATTTGAATGATTAGAATAGAGTAAATTACACAATTATCTATATCCGTATATTAATGTTACCGTGTTCCAAACTTATTGTGAACTTTTCAGTACTGCAACAAGCAACTAATAATCAAGAAACTCAAAATTTAACTAAACTACTAGTCCTGATTTAAATAAATATACAATATGGTTCATCTCAATCAATAGAGGAATCACCTAGCATGTTGATATGTAAATTACCCCAAAATTATTTTAAAAAAATATCACCCGAAATTGATAACGATGAAAGAAATACGAAAAGTCTACTTTATCTTCTTGAATCTTGATATCAGACTTGGATCTTCAATCTTTGTGTTAATTGCCCTTAATTTTCATTCTAGACCTCTTCCTAATGGTGTAATTATGATGTTTTATGTTGTAATCTTCGTCCCTTACGTCATCTAGTTGCTTAAATAGATGTTAGCATATTTTGTCCCCAATAGAGTTTGTGTCAAAGTAGGAATTAAACGTGTTCAAGTTGAAAACAACAAAGCGCGCACGCCATATAACTGATTCAATCTCGAGTTAGCTCGAACACGGCTCACATATGGGCCGTTCTCAAGCAGTCGTCAATATTGTTCTCATAATTTTCTTTCTTTATTTTTGATTGAGACGATTCGAAGTATGTTAAAAAGCTAACTCAAAAAGCTATAATTCCTTCAGAAGTATTATTTTTCCAATTCGAAAGTTTATTATGCGAAACATTGGTCTCAATTTTTGGTTGAAAATTTGAAACATAACTTGTGCCGTTGAAATTTTAATGCTTTAATTAT